CACCCTGGCCATAGAAACTAGTTCTCCACAAAATAAGCGTTAGAGTGTATCTTCAAAGCTCCCTAGTCAGTTCTGTTCATATTAGATGTAGTTTTCTCCAATCTTTTCTGATTAATATCTTCTAATTCACTTCCAACCTTTAAGTATGATACCCTTTAAAGCATGTACATTACAGTACTTCAGGTAAGATACCCTTTACTCCCCAGTTCACACTCTTTTCATCCGAGTTTTAGAATATTCCCTTGTACCCAAATCTCATGTTCCATTTAGCCTGCCATCACTATTTGAAAAACCTCTGTCCATTCTGAATCAAGGCAAAATTATAGTACCAATTTCTAATCCTTCAAAATCACCCAGAATCCATGATACCAAGGAAAAGGGATTTCTGATTTTTTTCCCTGTAGAAATAACAGGCTTTCATCTATAGCGATAACATTTGTATTCCATACTGAAGTTTTCTTTAGTTCTCTTACATTATGGACAGCATAGAAGAGTTTTACTCCAAAAAGTTGGGTAGTCACATTAAGTAGCTGTTTGGTTGTTTTGTTCAATCATGCTCAACCACAATTAGACTCAACCACTTGCATGCAGGCCTCTACAAACAATTGCTTGGTCTGGCAGTTCTTCCCCAGCCAAAGTAATCTCCAAGTCAAAACAGGAGGCACAACAAAACACTTGCAGCTTGTTTTACCCCTTAATCAAGGTATTTTGCACAAAAATGCACCAGTATATTTTCTAGGAGGATGTGGATCTTCTTGAAACCTTCTCATTTTATGCGAGCAGAAAAGCGTAACACTTTTAAACAAAAGCCTTTTTGGAGACAATGGCAATGTTATTATGCCTACGATCTTACCCAATATTAACAACAGACATCATACCACAGATACAGAGTACCTAGGCAAACTGCTTTTGTGGTGCATTTTCACAAGCAACTGTTCTTTGAGCCCTTTAGGTTATAATGCTTAAGATAAGCTAGGTGTATCTTAAGGGTGACAAATGCAGGGTGCAGGGATTTATAGGGTTTAGCCCATTTTGCCCATTTTTCAACTGTGCTTGAAAGCCTGGGTTTGCCTTTAGCATATTGTTGGGAGCTGCATTTGGATAAACAATCCCCACACACATTTGCAGCATTTCATGCTCCAGTAATTCCTACCCAGGGGTGATGATCACCTCATTAAGCAAAGTAGGTAGCTGCTTGAAGAGGATTTTGATGGGGAAAGCTTGGATCTTCAATGATGATCAATCGCATTATGCCCAACATCAGTAGCCATACGTTAACTGCTCCAGCGTTCAGCATGCCACTACACAGAGGTTATTGCAACATTTACAGTTGCAAAGTGGTGTGGAGCTTTTTTCATGCCAAGAGGTGAGGTCAAAGTACTGTTTCATGACAGCAAAATAGTTAAGGAATCCCAGAAAAGAGTCTGAAAGCCTGGATTATATTTTCATATGGCTCCCATTTTTACTCCTTTCAAGTGGACTCACTATTTACAGCAGTCATGTTTAGCCCTACAGCCAGAGTGACAGAATTTTAAGGAAGCTCACGCTTCATGTTTTGAGATGTGACTAGTTTGTTACAAACACTAAGGCAAAAATTAATTAGCATTTAGTCTCAACTCTTTACATAGCACAAAGGTTTAAAAGGTTAACACTTAACATTCAATTTCAATGGACCACAGAAGATTGAAAAATCTCTCCCATAAATTTCAATCCAACTAACATTTAAACTCCATAGTCATTCTCTTTAAAAGTCATTTTCAGATACTGTGACTGCTTAGCAAGAAGTAATAAGTTTAAGAACTACAAATCTCCATTAACGCACCAGTCATAAGCACAGACTTCAGTTACATATTTAGAAGTCTGCTTCTAACCACTGTCAAAAGCAAGACACCAATCAAGACAAGGACTGCATTCATAAGACATAAAACAGCGTTGTTATGCTTTACATCTCAGTCACTTTAGAGACAAAAAGACTAAAGTTTGACTTACCTATCAAAAACAGCTGTTTAAATCTTGTGTATGCAGTCTGGATATCTTGCAGAGATGGAAGGCTGCTTGACAAGTCATCTGTCTTCAGGAGTTCATAGGGAGGTTTGCTAATTGTCTTATAGATTCTAAATCAAATCATCAAGAGATTAAAGCCTTCTGCTTCACAAGTCAAATAGTGCACCAACTATTATCATTGAAAACAAAGTTAATAGGCATGGTTTGGAAAACAGCTGTAAGACGAAAAGATACACATCCTGGAAAGCTAATGGCCTCCATGCATTTTTAAAATGCTGGCTGGAAGCTTGCCTACAAGCTTCTTACAAGTTTTGCTGCTCTTAACTGTTACACTGACAAAATGATATTTGTGCATATTTGTGCAGTGATGAATATTACAAGCATTACTTGATTTTTACTACTGCTTCTTTAGTATTGTCTTCACTAGACACACCAAAATTACTTTACTAGCAGGCTATTTAGAGGTTAATCCAGAAAGACGAGATGGATAGAAACACCCAAACCTCCCAGCACACACTTATAATTTTTCTTGACTTTTACCAACCAAATTACATTCTGATACCTAGCTGCCAAGTCTGCTAATGAAACACATGAGTAAAAGAAAGAAAAAACAAAACTCAAACAAGATGGTATACCTGACTTGTACTTCCCTACATATCTGCTCATTTTTTCCCTAGGAGGAGAGGAAAAAATACCAGGCCAGATGAAGCTTTGTTTTGGACCCAGAACGTCCCCTCTCATTCAGGCTCCAGAGCTCAGATGAGCATCAGCTTAGTAAGTATCTCTGTTGCCATGCTGCCTTTTTATTGTCAAGATTTGGGAAAAGCTGCTCTACCTCAAATTTCAGAAGTGAAGCCTTGGGGGCACTTGCCCAGACAGGACAAGAGTACTTTGTTTCCTGTATGTTGTAGTACAGAAGCCTGCTTTAAGTGAGAACTACAGGAGTCCACATCAGAAATGCAGGTTACTAGACCTACCGGAAAATGCATCAGATAAGAGAATTGAGGGAAAGCAATCATTTGTCAATTACAGTATTTCTTCCAAATTGAAATAAACAATTTGTGCTAGAAGATCTGGCTCTAAACAACTTTTTCAATAAAAGAAGCTGTTAATTGTAAACATCTGCTGTGTGCTTGAGTTCAGACTAATACAATGGCATGTTAACACACCCTTATGGACAATTTGTAGTTATATTTTTAAATATTAGTGGTTAACCACCAGTAGTCTATAGCAAAGAAAACCACCGATACTACCCCAAGTCCAGATGGCCACAGACAAGAGATCAAAATATCAGTTGATACCTTGTTACAGCTTACTAGTAGTTCTACTTAACTTTCACACTATGAAATAGCATTACAAAGAGCTGTAAGTCATGTAAACTTCCCATTTCAGGGGAGAAACATTAGAGGATTTGCAGGAAGGGTCAAAAGCCTTTCCCATGCAAGTATAATTATTTTTAAAAACAAAAGAGGTTTTAAGAGCATTATCAAGATCTTTCCTGTTAGTTTGGTGTGATTAACAGGTTCTCCACCTATGAGGAGAAAGGAGCTAGCAGTGAAGCAGTACAAATGGCCATACTAGCCTGATCTAATAGCTTGCTGCTAAAAGAGAAGTTCTCTCCAGGACACCCAAAAAAACACCAGAAAAAAAGAGCAACAAGTCATTGCCATAACTCTCAGCCAGGCAGCTGTGCTCTTCCCCTTACGTTAACTTTGGCATTTTTCAGACTGCTGAGCTAATTCAGCTCCTTAACTCAGCTGAAGCAAAGTCCTGTCTGCCATCACATCTGAAAGTAGCACTAGCGAACTGCTAGATTGTCTCAGTCATTTTAGGTCACTTTATCTAAAGTTATTTAAGAATACAAATCTAGTTCTGAGAAGACAACAGATTTCAGAGAGATTTAGAATTTGGCTTGCAATTTCATGTTTAGAGATGGAGTCTAGACTTCACTTGCAAACACAATTGAGCCCATCAGCTAATGATACTTTAACTGTACTTTAAGACTTACAGGCTCTGGTGCTGCTTTACCTAATAACAAGGCACAGTTTATACAGAGATTCATCTGATATATACATATCTGTATTTCCGCAAATAAGCCTTCAGTGATGTTACAGTCCTGCACAACTGACCAACGCTGCTAGGCCAAGGGCTTAAACCCATTCCACTACAAAAAACTACTTTTAGATCTAGAACTTGTTTCCTGATGCGTGCAAGCTTAAAGATATAGCATATATGGAAAAAGAGAAGCAAGGTCCATACCAAGCAAAGTGTTGTGGACAGAATAGCTATTACTGACCCATCCAAGAAGGCTTTTTGCATTTGTGAAGTGCTGTCATCCTGTTCTTTGGGAAATGCAGACATTTTGAGAAGAGCAGCACCGTTATGACAAGACCAACACCAAATCTGCAGAAAGACATATACCAGGTGATAAAAATTGGTAAACTGTTCCGTACAAAATATTTGCTTAAGTGACTGAGTGATTACAAGAAATTTCTCTATGCTGTGCTTTATTAAATTTTTTGGTGTATTCAGTAAACCCATCAGTAGAACCAAACTTCTACAACTGCACCAAAACTACGTGCCTCAGTACACTGTGTTATCACTTGCAACTTTTAAGTTAAGCTTTATACAGGCACAGGGAAATATAAAATGTCAGATTATGTCAGAACATTACTTTCTCAACTGTGCTTATAGGTGAAAAAAATTGATCAAAATGTCTATGGCCAAATTACATTGGAAGATATGCCACAGCAAGACAGCTCTTGTAACTAACTCATATATATTAGCCCTCAGTTTCTCCACACAGATATAGTAGTGTTGTTCTTATAGTTCAGCCTCGAGATAACTCACTATATATACACTGTCATGCCTTTCCATGTAAGCCACACATAAAGGGTCATCTAAGCATATGAAATAAGATATTAAACAAGAACTCCACAACTAAATCAGATTGCGTAGTTAGAGGTATTCCTTGTAGCAAGTCAGTCCTCAAAGCATCTTACTTCCTTTTACATGTAATTTCTTGACTCACACCTTGAAGCTCTGAAGTTGATCTTTAAACTTGCTTTGAAACTGGGAGTCAGAATCATTTTCATCATGAATATATTACACAAGTCAAATCAGGAAGTTAGAGTTCTGCTACCAATATACAGCAGCCAAGAGGTGCACCTCAGAAGGATGCAGAAACATCACAATCATCAAAAGTGGAAAAATTGACTATTGTCCTTTCACTGCTGATTTCTCAAACTGATTTAATATGGTCAAGCTATTTTGACAGTAGCTGCCCAAAAAGGATTTGGAAATAATTAGAAGAGTTATACAAGGACTCTGAACAATGCAAGATGCAATTAAAAAAAATCACTTCTGTTTCTGTGTAACAGCCACTGTAATTTGTCTGGCTGACCATCTGAGAAAAAGTGAACCAAACTATTTGGAAGTTCACTACCTGAAGGGACAAATTGGGCAGGACAGTACAGCACTGTCTTCTCCATGGACTGAGTAATTTAAGAGCATGAAGTGAATATGGTTTTCCTTGGCAAACTTGATGGACATGCAACAACTCATAAGCGAGGTAAGACCTCATAAGCGAGGTTACTTTGCTCCTTGTTTCTATCTGCTCTGTCTTGCTGGTTCTTAAACTCTGGTATGAGGTAGGAAGCCAAAGCCAACTTGCTACAGGGCGCAAAACAGTGTATTTAACTTCATTTTCTGTTGAGACTGGTAGAACTAGTTTTTCTGCTAGGCTACTTGGCTTTGTAAAAATGCTGCATCATCACAGCCATACTACTTACCAGTACCCAAGCTAGGCAACTGAAGGTATTCAACTTATCTGCACATTCACAATCTTCACTTCAATATCCAAACAGCATTCCAAGCCCTACATCCTGCCCCAGCTAGGTGCCAGTCAGCACTCAGTCTCATGAAACACAGGCTGGTGGGTAGACAGACTAGTATATGAAGACTACAGGTCATTAAACATCTGATGTAAGTAAATTGGGGCTGTGAACCCCCATTTTGCTTTACATTGTTCAAGGGGAACATAGAATACTTTGAGCACCTCTCCTTCCAGCTTCTATTTCCCCTTCTAAAGATGCTAGGTGTAAGTGTGAGCTGTTAAAAACAAGTTCTAAAAATAATATGCAGTAACATCTGAAATACTCATTGAAATTATGCCTTCTTAGTAAGATTTCTTACCCTCAGTTATGCATATATACTTACAATTCATACTTCAAGATACTCTCTTCAGAAACGCATATGGGAACAACAAAATACAAAGGCAGCCTAAGATAACAAAAAAAGTTTCTTGCACTTAAAAACTGAACAATCTCCAAGCTCCTTTTAATGATGGTGAGTGTTCTAGCCCACAAGCTGATTATATATTCACTCTTACAGCTACAGTAATCCTTCCTACTAGATAGTTATATTGTCCTCAACACCCTCCCTTTATTTTCAGCTGGGATAAGGTATTTTCTTCCAATCTTGACTGTTCATTATTTTCACTGCAACATTCCCCTGCCTTTCCAATTAAGTCCTACATTTAATTGTAACATCTAAGACTGATTGCTAAGACTGCCTTGGTTCTCTCACTCTTTGTTGCTTCAAAAGATACCCTTCTACTATTAGACAACTACTTCTGTTTCCATGCCTTGCAAGCAGTTTGCATCACAATTCAAGGGTCTCTTTTAATATACCATGAATTTCCAAGTATCAGCCAACACTATTTGTGTTCAAGGCCCACAGAAGCAACAAAGGTAAGTACTTAACCTCAGCTTGGGTCTCTCAAGACAGAGTTCTAGAATAAATAGTTAAGACTTCTTTGAAAATTGGTGTGAAATTTGTTTCCAAGGTAAAACACTTCAGGATTTGACTATTAAACAACAGTAGTACACAAAGCCTTGTATACATCCTAAAGGGTTCACTGATAGATACTACTTAGCTAAACTGGTAGAAGTATACAACTCAGCCTTCCACTAAAGGCAATGCAACTTGACTTCCACCAGCACATTTTGCAGATACACTTTAAACTAGTTACTCTTCCCCCACCCAGTCCCCCAACCAAAACAACAGAAAATCTCAAGTGTGTGTAACGGGAAATTTTACCAGAGTAACGGTACAGGACTGAGAAAATGTTGTCCTAACCAGTAAGTATGACAAAAGTGTAGGTATACCAGACCTACATATTTTCTATTCCATTTTAAGGTGGTTTATTCTCCACCCCTAGAGCTATTCAAAGCTTGACTGACCAAGGTCCTGAGTAGCCGGACCTAATGTTCAAGTTAACCCTGCTTGAGCAGGGGTTGTGTAAGATGACATCCTGAGGTCCCAAATAAAAGTATCCCATAAATCAAAATGGAAACCAGATCCTAAAAAAAAAAATCCTAAACAATTGTGCAATGCTCAGCATCAAAGGTGGCACTGATTTTTGCAAATCTTACTGAGATGTATATCCAAAGCTCACTATTAACCAGGGCAAACTTACTTTTCAGAGACTCTGTAGCCTTCGTTGGTAGTCACTGCTTTGTATTTCACATTCCCTTTGGTCCGCTCCAACTCATCACGCCAGTCCTCAAGGGTATCAAACATCACAGTTTGGTTTCTTCCATCTGTCAGACAATAATGTTAAGTTTGTAGACTATCAGGAATTCTAACACGAAAGCGTTCCTAAATCAAGTATTTAGTTTTCATTAAGGTAAGCAAGCAAAACCTCTTGTGTACAGAAAGCCTTGAGTGAAAGATAAAACGCCTTTGTACAACACACTGCTTCTGTCTGATCTTTAACAAACCTTCTGTCAAATACTGCTTTAACTAATAACTTCAGGTATAGTTTCTCTTACAGAAACTAATCAGTTCTTACAGAACTTCCATACAGTTGAGGCTGTCCTCACATCCAGCCTAAAACCCAGGTTGCTATGCAGCAAATACCATTGTATACTAGCGCAGCTGACTGGCATCTAATAACATAGACATAAAAGTAGAATTAAGAATCATACAAAAAGCCTTTCTGCAATTCAGATATTGCATTTCATTTGAAGTTCATTCTTTTGTCATGGATAGGAGTTTTGCACTGAACAGAAATTTCAGGCACTTGATAAGAGCAGAAAATTGATTACAGCAGAAAATTGATTACAGCAATTCAGTCTTAATCATTTCAACTGAGAACTTTTCCCGTATTTCTATTTAGTCACCTCAGCGACATTTACGACAGCAGGTAGATTTAGTCTCAGATCCTGTATAACCACCATATAATTTATGGAGTAAGGCCAATTGTTTTAGACACCCATCATAATTAAGCATCCTGCAACATCAGCTAACGCAGAAATACCAGACAGCTAGAATTTCCGCAGAAGATACAATGACAAGTGAAACTCTCCACTGTAAAAAGATAAGGTAGATGAAATTATTTACAGCTGGAAACAGAACATTATTAATGAGCTCTAAGGGACAAGTTAAGATTTTAAGAGTATCAGACCATAAGAGGCATAAAACCCAATTTCTAAAGTCTATTTGGTTTGTCCTGTAACAACTTCATGAAGAATGAGACCTAGGCATTTATTATTAAAGGTAGTTATTAAAATATGAAAGAATTCTGGCACAACACTTCAAAGTTGCTATAAAGACTAGGCTTCACATTTGCTTAGTCTCTACCTGGAAAAGCTTACAGTCTTTCTGATGCTTGTAGTTCAAACTGAGGAGCAGTTACAGATGAAGCCTGCAGAAACTACCTGAGCCGGCAACGTGCCCTTGCAGCAAAGGTGGCCAATGTATTCTTGGGCTGCATTAGGAAAACTATTGCCTATAGGTTGAATGAGGCGATTGTTGTTCTCAGCTCAGCACTGGTGAGGCCATGCCTGCTATGTCCAGTGCTGGGCTCCCCAGTACAAGACAGGGCCTGCTGGAATAAGCCCAGTGAAGGTCCATTAAGATCATTAAAGGGCTTGAAGCACCTGATATGATGAGGGCTGGGATCATTCAGCCTGCAGAAGAGAAGGCTCAGCAGGGGCACACAGGGGCAAGAAATCCCTCCAGTGTGTACAAACACCTCACTGGGCACGGAAGCAGTGGAGGGGAGTAAAGAACATGGATCTGGACTTAGGGATATCCAGTGACATGACAAAAGGCAGTGCATACAAGCTGAACTACAGCAAATCCCATTTAAACATCATAATAAACTTTTTCACTGTGAGGACGGTCAAATAATGAAACAGGTGGTCCAGAAAGGTTGTGGAGTGTCAGTCCTTGGAGACATTCAAAACCCAACTGGACAGGACCCTGGTAAGCTTGCTGTGGTTACCTACTTTAAACAAGGGGAGATGGATAGGAACACAACTAAATGATCTCTGGAGGTTTCTTCTAACCTCAATGATTCTGTAATTCCATGACATATTTTGATAAGATTAATACCTTGGGTACATCAAAACTTCCCTCTGTGAAAGGAGCAAGCGTTCCTGGTGCACTACGACTCAGGTTCCTAGTTCAAAACAGTGCTATTACTTCAGTTGAAGTCTGAACTATGAAATGCTAGAAAGTGCACTGACAACTTTTTATCTTGAATTTTGCAGCTTACTATATTATTCAGCCAAGTTTGATCAAGTGGGGAGATTATGTAATAAGTTAGCTATAAGAGGAAGTCAGATGTCCACTAGAATCTTGCTATACAAACCTATGCTTTTTTTGCAGTTGCCTGGGAGAAGCAGATCACTTGCAAATAAGAGCAAAAAGGGAAATACTCTGTCAGATGCCACTGAAAATGTAATAATTTAAGAATTAAGAGCAGGAAGTTTGGTTCACTGCAATAGTACAGAAAAAACATTGATAAAATAAGCAAAACATTTTCTAGATGAGAGCACTCTAGTCAGAAGCACATGAAAAGCATTTGCACATATTGATCACAGTAAGTTTTCAATCCAGTGACGCTACTCTTGCTTGGAAAATTTCTGTGCAACTACACTGAGGGACACAGAAACCAGCAGCAGACAATTTAGAGATTTTTACCAACAAGTCTAATGATGCATAACAAGAGAAAAATGAATCTTCTGAGGCTATCTGCCAGCGGGGCAGAGTCATGAGCCAAGCACAAACTCAGCTAAATGTCCCAGACTGTTTAAGGAACTAACAGTATGCAACAAATACAACCCAAAAATAGAAAAACATTTACCTGTGTTGTTTGGGGCAGCTGATGCATACGAGAACAGAAACAAGCGTTTAAGCAGCTTAGGAGTCTGGCTATGATGAACTATACCACTGACGATCTAGGAAAGGACCAAAAATTAACACCCAAAGACAGACTAAGACTGTCAGTATAAAAACCATGATTTTTCTACTCTCCTCTCCCAGGTTTTAAACAAAACTGTTCAATGGGTTCTATTCCCAACAGCTGAAAACTTACCTTTAGAAAGCCTTCTCCATTGTCTGCAAGACACTATACCTATTTGGTTTAATGAAAAAAGTATTATCTGTTCAACTTTCAGAATGACTCTTACTATTTAAATAAAGGTAGTAGACTCCTAGTTTGGAGTTCAGATTAACCTGTGAAAAGAACCCAAGTTATCAGGAAAATAACTGCTTTCACATGAAAAAGGCTGAAGTCTAAAATGTAATAAAATTGTATCATAAACAGAACAGCTTCACAAGTTTGCCTGAGACAAATCTAATTTCATGTAGTACTCTCAAGCTGCAGTTTTCTTCAAAGAGCCTGTGCATCTGATCTTTTAATGGCTATACATAATGATACTTAATGAGTAAGGTTAGCTAGAAATCAAAGTCTTACTTTCTCTCTCAGTTGGGAATGATCAGAAAACACTTCAAGTTTAAGGGATCTCTCAGGGTGAATTTCATCCTTCCCTCATCCCCACAACTAAACACCCAACACTAAGTTTAAAAAAAAAAAACAAATTAAGTTACTATACTTACCCTTTTCACTTCCTCTTCTTTTGTGTATCTCAGGCAGAAATGAAATACTCTAAGGTCTTTACAGTAGATAATTAGCTTCTCCGGGTATTTTCTCAGTTGTCCAGTTAGAAGTTTCTTCTTCTCATCATAAACTACAAAATTAAAAAGTCTAAGTAAATATAAAACAGAACTTTGCCATCAGTTGATAAAGCTACCCCTGCTTGACTTTTCGAAATTCTCAAGAAACTAATTTAAGCCCAAGTTTTAGTAGTCAAAACAAGGATCCTACAACAGACTGGCAAGCTCTTGTGCTAATATACTCAACTTTTTTCTTTTAAACCCATTCAAACTACTTCCTGCAAGGTAGAAACCAAACTTACAGCAAGCCAGCTGCTCAGTGATTATTTCTGTTCACATGCTGACTGCACAGTAAGCTCAAAGTTTTGAGATGCATAAAGAACATAGCTTAGTTTTGCCTCAGGGAAAGTCCCCAAACAAACAAGATCATTCTAAGTTCCTAAAAAAAAATTGCTGCGTTTTTTTAACCACCATAAATCCCCCAAGAGAGCCCTTTGTTCACTTCTGTTTGAGGATGTATCATTTCACATCTTCAAGTGCTGCCAGCTAGGCCATTATATACAAAACTAAATTGTGTTTCATAACCAAACTCCACTAGTCTGCCCCTAGTTCACTCCTTCATGAATCCACACCACCATTCAGAAATACTCTGAATACTCTAACACTAGTCCAAAGTCAGGCTTCTCAGTAAAGCCTTCCCCACTACTTAAAAGTTACCAGCCCCATTCTTGTTTACCTTTTTTAGCCATACAGGCACACCTGTAAGCCCTGCTGCAAAACACTCATTGATTTACTTGTAAATTAAAACGTCGTTTTCTCTCTCCTTTGGTATTTTGAAGACATCATGAATCTCATAAAACAAAGTTCCCTTAGACAAACAAAAGGTATTGTTTGGGAATCTGGTACCCATACTGCTCTGCAGTGCCACTGCTCAAATGAAGTGAATACCTCCATATTTATAGAAATAGTCGATACACTGGAAGATCCTTGTGCACCAATCTTACTCAGAGACTTTTCACAGTACACTCTGCTTTGAATCATGACATTTTGAACGAATTGTTTCGTCTGTGCCAGCAAGGTAATTAATCAAAATGTAGCTTTGACAAGCTTGAGGGATAAGACTGGGTTCTGATAGATCTCTTATGTCATTTCATCATTAAATATAACTGCAGCTGTTTTTTCCAGACTACCCAATCCTAGTTTCCGAAGTGACAACTCTATCAGTTTTCTAAAAAGGATGTACGTGTACAAAGAGCACCAGCACTATAAGACACTTAGAAGTGTGAGGCATGTTAAACGAAGAGGAGGAAGCTGACCTACCTCCATAGATTTGATCTACACATTGCAGGGTTATGTCATTTTCTCCTACAATCTTATTCTGGAATTGTGGCTCCTAGAACAAAAAAAATTCTTAGAAATCTCACATTATTAAGCAGTAGCACCTTCTCACACGTAAAGGATGTGTTCAGTACCTATTTCAACATCAGCATTACTTCTTATTCTTATAAGCTGTATAAGGCAGAACACTGAAGAACAGTTACTAAGATACAGACAGATGCAGGTTACACAGGCATCATTTATAAACTGCAGATCCAGTTTTATTTCTCAGCCATGCTTGAAATGTAGACAGAATTTTTACTTTTCAAGTAGCTCCAAAGCATGCATTTCTATTCAGAGTCACTTTTCAAACTAGAATCATTGCAGTAAACAGGAAATACAGTAACTTGATGTAATCCAAGCCCTTTTATGACAAGTTTCCTTGCTATGGGAACCTGGCAGGAAACAGAAAGTCTCTTAAAAGAACAAGTAACCCAAGAATATTCCAACATAACAGCCAGATTTATCACTGGGTAAAATGAAAACACAGACAACCCAATTCTTTTATCTACTGTTTTGCCAAACTGGAAGTGATTTGGGGCTCCCTTCACTTTTATCATTCCATGAGTTCAGAGTTAAAAACTACATTTGAGTGATGCCACAATCAAACATAGTTATGTTAAATATTACATATTATTACCAGAAGGCTGATCTACACTACATCAGCAAATTACATTTTACATGAAGACAACTGTGAAGACAGTTAACCTCATTCAAGTTATTTCCAGGTCTGCACCACTCTGAATCAGGTGGCTAATAACGAACTTTTGTTAAGAGACATATAGCTGACTTGGCATGCTATAAAGATTTAAAGTTAGTGATGGAACAAAGATTAGCATGGTACCATCAACTTTAGCATAAATCTTACGTGATCTGTTGAAAGGGCAGCTTTGTCCCAACTAATTCCAGAAGGTCCAAAAATGTTAAACTCCCTGAAATTTTACCCCAAGAAACTTCCAACTACAATCAACATGTGTCAAATCGTATTCTTCTCACTATTCTTTACTGTCAAGATCACCTTTCACTCAGGAGCCATATACTAGGCTCTCCTTCACTTATATCACCTAGATGGACCAGACTGTTTCAGATGCTTAAGCACACCAAAAAAGGTGTGGCATTACCATTCCCCTTTGACAGCTCAATTTGAGCACCTAAAACAAAGGAAACAAGATTCAACTCATCTCTACGATTTGGGGACTTTTTAGCTTTATTAATATTTGCCAGCTAAATAGTACCAGGTTTTAAAATCTTTGCAGTCAACATCTGACTTTGAATGGAATAATTCAGAGCTTTACTGAGCCACACAAACAATTACCTAGAGCATTTCCATTGAATATCACCTTACTCAGTCTTGTGCAGCCCTGAAATGGTTCTGCAGATGTAACCCAAAGTCAAGCCAGAGATTTTATACAACATTAGAAGTACATTTGACATTCATGCTTTTGCAATTGCTACTAGACAAGCAGTCAGAAATCGGGTTTAAGCAAACTACTGATTTAATTTTCAAAACAACTCATTCTTTTAACTTAAGCTTCACAAAATTACCAACTCACAAGATATAAAGAGTTATAAACTATGTCTAATATAAGTGTCCACATACAGGCTTGCACCATTTTTACTTAAATTGTCATTAGAGCTTGAGGAAGGATCTGCATAGACCAAGCAGATGCAGACTGATTAAAATTAGTCTGCAGCCATTAAAACTCATAAATCTTGTATAAAACTTATATATTCATTTTGTATCCTTATAGAAGGGAAAGACATGATTATTCAGTCATAGATCACTATGTCTTCAGAGCCTGTTTGGTCATAATTAGAAGACTTGTCTTCCTACATTATCATCTGAAGCAGAATCATCATCAAGGAAAGCAATCTTGAAGTTTGTGCATACAAGCTTCCCATAGGTGCCACGATTTGACCCATCTTCTTGTATATACTTGTATACCGTGTTTGCCTCGCAAAGCAGCAGTTCACCTGTATAAAAGAAACACTGACTTGCAACATAACTGACATTTGTAACCAAATTATTTCAACTGTTATCTTAAACTCAGCATTAGCTTCCTGACAACTTCTCAACTGTATGCCTGAAGATATTTCATCACTGTTATACCAAAAGACTAAGAGGCAGCTCCTGGAATCAGTACACTGAGAGCCTTCCACGTTATTAACATTACTCAAGAGGGACTGAAGACTGTTCCACTACACACATTTAGGAGTTCTGTAACCAGAAGTACCTGTATCATGGCTTACTCTAAGCAGTAGGAGAACAACATGTGGAGTTGCAAAGAGCAACCATACGAGCATATACTTGAAAAAAAACCAAAGCCCACTGAAGAGTAGTCAATAAACAAGTTGAAAACTGTTCCAATTTCCTTACTGCTAAACTCTAAGAATGCTGAAACATTTGAGTTGCTTATTACAAGTTCATCATAGTTAATTTTTCATAGCTTTGACTGGAGATGTTGCTTATTTTACAGGTCCCAGAGCTATTTTAAAGTTTTAAAACACAAGTTTGCATAAACAACGGTCAATGAATTTCTAATCTTAAAATTAGCAGGAACTGAGCTTCAAGTTTAAGAAAGTAAAAACAGGTTTTAATAGGTATAATCAGCCAGACTCTTGGTCTTTCCTATAAAGTGCAGAAAACCCAACAGAACAATACTAGTTTATTCTAAGCTTTTACTTGTATTTTATCTTCATAATGTCATCTTTCCCCATCTTGGAAAAGATTTTTTAAAAAGAAAGAATTGTAAATTAAAAAAAAAAAATCTTAACAGTGAATGAGGCGTCAAAAGACCTAAGTAACTCATAGTAGAAGCAAAGCAATTAGGAAGTAAGTTTCCACCAGTTCTTGGTCTTCAGTTCCCAAACAAACAAAAAAACCACACAACTTTATATTTTAAGAAACAGGGCAAACTGAAGTATAGACATGCAGCTTACTGAAATTGAAAAATTTCAATTTTTATAGAGTTTTTCAACAACCCATGCAGATACAGGTATTTAAAATATTTCAACTTGTGTGGGTTGTTACACCAAACCCTCTATTTTACTACTTGGAACACTGATGTCACATGAGTGTTTGCTGCAGACATGGGAATATTTAAATATTGTTTACATGATTAATTTTTTAATTATTTAATTGTAATAATACAATATACAACAGTTACCTGGTAATAAGCGAGGATTTACTTCCTTTTCTATGGGTTCCTTTATGTGTATTTCCTAAAGAGAGAAAGAGTAATTATTACTTTGCAAAGATTGTACCTTCAACACATGCTGTAAATAACAGCAACCTCCCTCTTAAATTCCTCACATTCTAGCAAATAGGCAAATTAAAATTAAGGAAGAAACTTCCTAAACTAAGGAGAGTAAGTTTGTAATGTGCTCCTACTGACTAAAGGTCAGTAGTCTACTAGCTAAATAATTAAGTCCATGGTTTGACACCCACAGTGTCAGTTACATGCAGCTGTGAACACAAGAAAGGAAATGTGTTATTTGTGTAAGTAACAGACAGAAATAAAGCATTACCAATACTTTTAAAGTTCTCTCAGCACATGTAAATGGATAAGCATAAACTTAGTATTACGACACCATCTCCCAGAGTTCATTCATAAGCTTTTCCAGGCATGACTTAACATTTGTTTCTAATGTACCCTTCACAGTTTTTCAAGCTTCATCCTTCACTATCTGTTTCTGATTTTTTTACATGTATTATTGCAATCAAAATACGAAAGTTACTTAACCAGTACTACCAAGATTTTAGGGAAAGGGATTTCAGAATCTCAAAGCCAAGAGGTAAAATCAGTCACAGGATATCCTTTAGCTTGGACCCAAATTGCACAAAACAAACCTATTAAATTCTCCGTATCACTTATTCTAGCCTGGAGGCAGTGACAGTTGGGCTAAAATCTCCAGCCGAAAGACTATTAAACTAGAGGACATGCTACACCCTTCCTGCTCAGCCGGTTCAGAACTTCCTCCTCCAAGTCCGAATGACTTCACATGCATTGGAGTCCTTCTGGAAAACTATTAGTTAACTGGAAACCCCCCCTGGGGCCACAGCAGTAAGCAAGCCAATTTTAGTTTGTCACTAACATCCAGAGTCAGATATTGCAAATCAAGGCAAGCAATCAAAAGGAGACATAAGCAGTAACAGTTTTGCTGGATTAAATACAGAGAAACAAAAGCCCCTGAGAGCTATAAAAATAACCCTCCTTTGCCATTCATATAAACACTTGCTCTCAACACTCAGAAGACCAAAAACAAAGCTTGAAGGCTGCATAACAAAACTAAAACCATCAGGAAACCATGTCATGAGAACAGCAGAGACATTCAAGACAGGTTGGAAAGAGACAAAGGTTATAAAATGAAAGTGGTGGTGGTGTGAAGAAAGAAATTTGTTAACTACAGCTGGCAACTAATGCAGAAAACAAAACACAATTTGCTGCCTTTGACTTCTAAGTCTGGATGTTGTACAAGTAAATTTTAATCAAAGTTCACGCTTGTCAACTAAATAAGTTACTCTGCAAACATGGCTCAAGCCAAACACTGCTGCATTCAGAGCAGAAATGCATACAGGTTTTCCCAATGTTGTCTCTTCACCACTGGTAGTTCTAAGCTGAACTTTGGATTTACTCGTGCCTTTATAGTTATGCCTTCTACTATCACTATTTGTGTGCAACTAAATGCAACATGGTTTGCTCACAAACTATATGCCAACAATCACTGCTACAGAACAGTAAAGCAGTATACTAACTAGGTGTTTTCCCAGTAACTTCTACTTTGGAAGATATCATAAGGCATGTAGTAACTACTGTTGATGTATACACACTGCTTGAATGTTCGTACTCATTGCTATGAGTACCAGTTTATGCTAGTGTTGGCAGATGAGACTTGAGGAAAAAAAAAAATTTGACCCCAAAGAGGTTCTTTGAGCTTACACCAATTTGTTAAAATGCAATGAAGCTTTTATAGCAGGGATCATAGAGGCAAATTTTGAACAAGTGGTTTGGGTTTTCGTTACAAGTTAAATCGGTTATCTTCTGAAAGGAATTAGAATTTTAGTTAAACAGCATCACAGCAGAATAGAGACCTCAGTCAAACACTGAGATCAGCTTATAAAATCCAGTTTCACTCTGTTGACAAAAATCCACAGACATTGAAGTGCTTACTATAGGCAGAATTCCTATAACATACAACAGCTTCCAAGAGCTGAGCCTCCAGAAGAGTTCTACTTGAAAGTCAACATTTATATTCCCCATAATATCATAAATATTTTACAGTTTTCATACATATGCACTAGGGATAGCCAGCATCCAAGCCATGAACATTGCTGAAGAATCCATGCCGCTGCGCTCATTTTCCAATACATTAAATTTTACTAATGTCACATTTTGTATTTGCTCTTTTAAGAGAGAAGGCCAGATGTTTATTAAGAAAAGTTGTTAACTCACCATGAGTCAGTGCAAGTTGTGTAGGAACCTGTAAGTTTAGCTAGTATCTCCACTCTGTTTCAACTTTATTTTTCTAATGGATTTCAGTTTTGGGGCAACACAGTCTTAGGACTAACTTAAGAACCCGCTGACACTAAAATGCATGCTCTTCAACACCCCTTTAATCAGTCATACTGATACATACATACTCACCCACCCACTCCTTTTATCCCTGGATTTGTCTGACTACATGGTGAGGTAATTTGGTTCATAAGATCAGCTGGAAAGTCTGTACTTGTGCTACATTTGGTTTTGTTGTTACTGCCTATTGTTAGCAGAACTGGCTCATCAACAGGTCAGATGAGCACAGAAACAAAAGGGAAGCAGCAGAAGCAAGTCCCTCCCTTTCCACAAGCTACTAAAACCACTCAGACCTCAGGAAACTTCACCCTCTGACCATTTATTGAAGTTAAGCATGCAAGCACTTTCCATATATGACCACTGAAAGCCACGCACACCTCTAGATAGATACTTCTTCATCCGTAGCTTCTCTGTTCTGAATGCCCCAAGCAGCATCTTGGCACTTCTTACTCAGACACAACACAGAAAAACCCTGCTACCAGCAATAGCTAAAAGCACCTACCCATAGGACACCATGCAAATGAGGAAAATTAACTTTGGATTGCCGCAGAAATGACAGAAACAAAGACCTCAACTTTGCTGAAGGTTTTAGAAACTTCTTGCTCAGAGATGCTTCCAACCTGTGCACTTACTTACCTTGTGCTACATTGCTTTTTCCAGGTTATCAGAGCAAACAGTGGTAGGCAATACAGCAACACCCCAAAGTTATCAATTATAACAGTACAGAATACCAAACCATACCAAAACTGCAGGCTGACATGTCACACCATACTAATTCATAATGCATCATTCTTCTTGTTAGTTCAAATCGACTTCAGCTGATAGCACTATGAAACCATAAAGTGCCAGGGAAAGGAGACACCATGCTCCTTGCAGATTCTCTGCTTCAGTAGGGGGAAGACAACACAGAGAAACTGTTTTTCTTAAGGGAAGGCTCACCTCTTCTTCTTCTCTTCTGCTTGGTTTTTACCTGAGTATAGGGAACAACTGCGCAGTTTGCAATACCCAGGGACTACATTCAGCTCTGCCCCAAAAATATATTTAAAGGGGCTAAAATATATTCCCCAAGTCTGTCTGGGGAGATGTGTCTTCCCCAAGTGCTGAAGCATAAAAGAGCCACCACATATGAGGCAACATCGAGTTTAAGGCAGTAAGGTCAAGTAGCAGTTATGCTACATTAAGAGGGTCCTAACACTTACGGCAGGAGAAGGATCCCAAATGATTCCTGCTCTAGGACAAAGAGCTCTCACCACAATTGAGAGCAATTCCTTACCTCCCACTCCACAGGGAGGTAAACGACTATGGACAGAAAATAAGTAAAAAGTGAAAAACATTCCCTGCATGCTAGAATCCAGATTACTCTGATCTTGTCACAGAATTTGGATTTTTTTCAATCAGCATTGCAAAATATGTATATAGGCCTATTGATACTGGACATTGCTCATCACTCGCAGGAGAGAGACAGTGCATACAGTCTGCTGCTGCAAATTATATGCTGTAAGCTCTGAACCTACCTTACCCTACAAAAATGTTTCTGTTTATCCATAGCCAGACATTTGTGCTAGAGGTAATCCCAACAATGGAAAACAAGATTTTTAGTAAACATACTGGGAAAAACATTGTTTATTAGATTCAAGTTATGAAGGAACCAGTTATCACTTCCAGGGTTTCAAGAGCACTGGCTGAAACATACATTCTTTCAAGGCTGACAGAAAATAGTAGTGCTGTGAGAACACAGAATATTTTAACGCTGTTACACAGTTTTCCACAAGTAACCTCTCCACAAGAAAGCTCTACATGGTGAGGCTTGCTGTGAACATCCATTTTTTCTTATTTACTTATACTTCACTAAAAGACTAATACAGGGCTGAGATAGCTTTCTTAACTATACATTTATCTTTACCTGTTGTAAAAGTCAAACTGTATACTGAAATATTTGCAAGTTAATTGTGGTGCTCCAACAAGTGAATACAGTATTCCTGCGTAAAATAAATCAAACTTACGTCTAACAGTTCCACTGGAATTCCATGCAAAAGAGGAAATACCTGTGCACATGCTTAGCATATACTTTGTATTCAGAAAGGAACCAGAATACATACTTGGTATTTTCTGAAATACTATTTCTTGATCAAACAAGCCTAATCCCATGTTGTATGCCCTACAGTCCAGAGGTATGCTCCTTTTGGCTGGGATAGAGTCAATTTTCTTCATAGCAGCTACTATGGGGCTATGTTTCAGATTTGTGTTGATAACACAGTGATGTTTTCTTTATTGCTGAGCAGTGCTTACACACAGTCAAGGCCTTTTCTGCTCCTCTCCCCGCCCCATCAGCGAGCAGGCTGGGGGTGCACAAGCAGTTGGGAGGGGACACAGCTGGGACAGCTGATCCCAGCTGACCAAAGGGATATTCCATACCATACGACGTCATGCTCAGCATATAAAGCTGGGGGAAGAAGAAGGAAGGGGGGGACGTTCGGAGCGATGGCGTTTGTTTTCCCAAGTAACCATTACGCATGATGGAGCCCTGCTTTCCTGGTGGTGGCTGATCACCTGCCTGCTAATGGGAAGTAGTGAATGAATTCCTTGTTTTGCTTTGCTTGTGTGCGCGGCTTTTGCTTTCCCTATTAAACTGTCTTTATCTCAACCCATGACTCTTCTCACTTTTAGCCTTCCGATTCTCTCCCCCATCCCACCATGGGGGAGTAAGCAAGCAGCTGTGTAGTGCTTCGTTGCTGGCTGGGGTTAAACCACGACAAGAGGAGATACTTACTACACTTTAATTAAATAAAGTGCTGAAAATAATCTCTAAACGCCTGTTTTCCTTCCTTTCACAGCTCCATTATCCAATAGCCCATTAGATCATAGCGCATGTTTTCCATGTCCATTTCATCTTTTATCCTTTCCTCTTTCCTTACATTGTCCTGTCCATCTCCTCTGACTTCAACGCCCGGCTTCCCCCACGTCAGCCCAGAGCCCAGCTGTCCACTTTTGTAACTCCTATTCCTTATGCCACTCTTCAATTCCATCACCCCGATTTAGAAGGAGCGCCACACTATTTTAAAATTGATCACTATGGAACACACAATATTGTACCAAGATTTACAAGCAACAAGTACTTGCAGTGGTTATGAGTTAACAGCAATGCACGATTTGAGAAACAAAGGAGAAGACGTATGAAAATTCCCCTCACCTCTGAGCAGCCTGAGGTACACTCCAGATTTCAGGGACAAGCAGAATAAAGCAGAACAAACTCCTAAAATTTAAGGGCTAATACAAGAACTAATATCCTGTAAGAATTAACATGAAGTACTTAACTCTCAAGAACGCACGTGCAAAAAGTAACATTAAGCTTCAAATCAAGTTTAACACCTACATTTTTATTCAAATTAAGATTTTTAAGAAAATTATGATCCAGCTTGTTAGCCTTGTAAATGCTTTCAGTTTTGAAATATTAGAGTTAGAAATCATGAAGCAATTCACTGGTTCTTGTTTCTATGTCTCCATAGACAAATATTCCTAGTCTATGATCAGACATGTCAAAACATTGACTTTATACCCTAGTATTCACCCCACTTCCTGCAGGGTAGCCAAGTCTGTCCTGAGGGGAAGTGTGTCACTAATATCAACATCCTACGGTCTCGCTCTCAACAGACCATTGATTGATCTGTGGTTCCATATAGAAGAGCATAACTAGGTTATATTTAGTCAGATGTCAAAAACGCTGCTTTTCCAGACATTCTGGGGTTTCACAGCGGAAATCACTTCTGTTCCTTTAATAAACAGCATTTTCTGTTCGCTCCTTACTTCTATCTTGCCATACATTAACATGAATAGAGTTCCTGTTTCTTTTCCATATTCAAACAAACCAACCTTACAAGCAGTTTAAAGCTAACTTAATTTTATTTTTCTGAACATTACCTAGCGTGTCCCCCAAGTATCTGAGGATGACTAAACAAGCTGGGGCTAGAACAAAACTCAGCTCTGCCTGCTGCATTTTCTTATTGTAGGGCTCCCCTAACCCAGATGCAGCAGCTTATCTCAAGTTTGAGACTCAAAGTCTCAAACAACTTTCCAGGCAAACAAGGACAAGCCCAAAGAATCTGGAGGTTGCAAGCAAGGAGGACTACAGCGTAACACTGCTATTTTGTTCTGTATTGCACAGTGGTTGACAGAAAATCTTGCTGCAATTCAGAAGTATAAACAGCTTGAAGGCAAGGCTCCATAAGTTCACCAACAAGTCCACCATTAACTCAAATGTTACCTAGATATAACCTCAAGCTCATGAAGTGTCTGAACTGCTGTTTCCCACCTTCTGACAGGGTCTACCAGAGGAAGTATCACACTGAACATACCTGTCGCCTATACTCTTTCATAGAAGAGACAGGATATTAGTCTGCCCTAGTACGGTACGGCAGTCACACTATCGTGATGAAAGGAAACTTCCCAGTCGACCTAACTATTTTCCACATAAGAGGGATTGAAGTATTTCCACTGTTCTATCAGTCTCGCCCCAATTTTAAAACTCAACTACATGGAAGTTAACAGGTACAGGAAATTTGTGTTCAGAAAGATTTTTCTCACATACAAACAGCATACAGTTCCTTGAGACATGCTCACTTCTGCTTATTTTAGGTATCTGATCACATACTTCTTCCAGATGCCCAAATAGCCCCACAGGTTTCATCATATGTCTAAGCTGTATTTTAAATCCTCGTAAAAACCATTAAAATCTTCAGCTTCCTGTGTAACCACTCCATTACAGCAGTCATAGGCTGTCAAAAAACAGCAATACCCAACAGAACGAAGAGTTAAACTTGCTTTACTTGCTACTGGAATCAGACCTCAGTTTCACTGAGCTTTTGAAGCTGCAAAAGAGACGTCAATTCTATGGCAGAAGTCAGCTCTATATTTCAAAGCTTCTGCTGCAAGAGCCCATGAAATTCTTAAATTTAAGTGCATCAAGGAGATGGTTAAAAGCAAAATAAATAAATAAAGAGTAAAATAAAATAAATAAAGAGTAAATGACTGCAAGCTCTGGTGCATCAGGATACTTCATTAAGAGCTTCATCCTCCAATATTAAATACCTTCGTTATTCTTCCTGCAGTCATCAGGATCAAACTTGAAGAGTTACATTACTGTACTTATAACCAAGTTAAAGGACTCTATTATTTGATATCTTACTGCCCTACGTATATTTCACTTGTACCTTCTCCCACTGGCCATTTTTTCCAGCAAGCTTTAATCATCCAGTATGCTTGTTTAAACGGTGAAGCGTCTTTCAGTAAGTCCAATAAGTGAAGTTCTTACCTTCAAAAAATTAAGTTCCTTGAGCGCACACTTTTTTGTATATTTGTACAACATACTTTCCTAAGGTGAAAGGCTGACTTCAGGGAGATCATAGAATGGTTTGGGTTGGAAGGGACCTTTAAAGGCCATTTAGTCCAATCCCCCTGCAATGAGCAGAGACATCTTCAACTAGATCAGGTTGCTCAGAGTCCCATCCAACCTGACCTTGAATGTTTCCAGGAATTGGGCATCTACCACCTCTCTGGGCAATAAAATATCTCCATTTTCACTGGGAAATACAAGGAAGATAGAAAGCTTTTGAAGTAAACTGATGAAACTACAACATATAAAAACAGAGTTGCTACTACAAAATAAGAACATAAGTTTTAAACAGCACAGCTGACTTAAGCCATAATAACTCTGTATTGTTATTTTAGATTCAGTGAAAAATAAAACCAGCAGATTCTCCAAGGTCCTATCAGTGACAAACTCTGTACTAATTAACAAGATAGCTTCTTAAGGAAGAAATTTTTGTCTATCAAGAGAACTGAACAACTGAGAAGAACCAGTTTGACACAGATTACAAAGAACTATGGAGAGGAAAAAGAAAAAAACAACCCAAAAATGGCTAGTTTTCATGAAGACTGGTCTTCCTAGAAAACAACTGTTTACTGGGAATAAGAATGAAGGAATACTTAATAACAATACTGCTCTAATACCATCCATTAACAATAGGACCTCAGTAAATTGAGTCTAAAGCCGCTTCAATCAACCCCCTAACAGAAGTTTCAATAAATAAGTGAAAGGACAACAGGAAGAGCAATACGAAAGATATGTACAGCCAAGAGTTCAACATCGAGCTGTTAGGGAAAGGGACCCAGTGCTTTACAGCGACAGAACTGAAAACACGGAGTTTGCAAAGACAGAGCACGCACCGAGAGCGAAGTGATGTTAAGGGACATTAAGAGTAACAGGTTCGGAAAGTCCACAAGTCACAACGACAGCCTGACATCTGGTCACTGCTTACAAGAAACAATTCAAGTGAAGCACCAGAAAAATAATCAGCTTAAAATTGACCGGCCAACTGCATTTTTTAAGCTTTCTCCCGAAGGAACACGCAAGATGCTTCCCCCTCGTCCTCGGGGAAGCACCTTCCAGGCACCACTCGTGCGATCCCCGGACAGCACACCTAACCGCGCTCGCTCCAGCCACGCTCCCGTCCCCGTCCCACAGGCGCACCACAAAGCTCTCCACAACTCCCCGCGCAAAACTCCCGCTGCGAAACCCGAGCGAGGGGACGGGCAGCACGGCAGGAGCCCGCGCAGTTCCCCCCGGCCCCCTCACGCCGCTCCCGGACGGGCCGGCGGCTCCCG